GCCGCGGCCAGCGCCGCGCGGCGGCGCGCCTCGCGGGCGCGGGGGCGGGGGGGCGGGAGTGTCACCAGGTTTGACAGCAGCAGCACCTGCCCGCCGGCGACGACTAACGGGAGACCCTGCCAGCTGGCGCCCAGGTGGCTGATAGGAAGGTGCGCCGTGCAGGACGCGACCGCAGTCCACTGGCCGCTGCGGCGGCAGGCGAGGCGCGGCGGTCGCAATGCAGCATCAGCGCCGATCGAGGTGTGGCGTCTATTCAGTGTTCCACACATTTAAAGTTTGAAGCATCGCGGCTTGCTGCGATGCGCAGCTCCACCAGCCCGCAGCCGTGCGGCCCCGGGCAGCGGCAACTCCCGGCCGCCAATAAGCCCCACTTTAGCCCACGACCTCGGACCTCAAACCCTCCACCCCCGGCCACTTTTCCCGGCCCCCGTCACCCCACAATATGTGCGAGTGCTCTCAAAGGCCCTCCCCTCCCCGCCCCCCCAAAAAGGGCCAACAGCAGCCTGCCCCCTGGGCGCCCGGGCCCGCACCTCCTGTCCCGACCAAACAGCTCCAGCGCGCCGCCCGCGTACCCCACCGCCAGCAGCGGCGCGAGCCCGCCGCTGTCGAGCCACGCGACCGCCGAGGCGGTGTCCTCCAGGGCCAGGAGGGACTCAAGCACAAAGGGGCCGCCGGCGAGGGCGGAGGGGCGGCGCGGCGGCGCGGCCGGGTGCGGGGGCGGGGCGGCGCCCTCTGCTGACCAAATGTAGACGGCATCCTCCACTTCGGTCTGGGTTGAGGGGCGCGGGGATCAGGGATGACATGAGTCGTGGTCATTCGAATCCGGTCGGGCGACAGATGGGTCAGATCACACAGGGACGCGGCGCGGTGCGGCGCGGCGCGGTGCGGCACGGCACGCCCGGCGCGCCTGCAAGATAACCTGCGGGGAGCCGCGGGCGAGCCACGGGGCTGGGCGCCCGGCCGCCGCCCCCAATTGCGAGGCATACTGTTGTCGAGTGTCGAGGCTCACCTCCCCGCACGTCGTCGCCGCCGCCGCATAGCCCGCGCCCGCGCACAGCGCGACGGCGACCGCAATGCCGCCCAGGTGGCCCCCCATCAGCCCGCAGCCGCTCTGCTGCAGCAGCTGCACGGCCCCGCCGCCGACGGCGCCGCCGCCGTCTGCCACAGACCCGCAGAGGCTCAGCGCAGCCTCCGCAGACGCGGGCAGCACCTGCCACAGCTGCGTGCGGCCCTCCACATCGCCTGTCATCAAGAACGGGCCCGCGGCGCTCGGCCTTTGAATACACGATATACTAGCCGACGCCTCCACAGCCGAACCCTCCTCTCCATCCGTGCCGTCGGACCGGGCAGGCCCGGCTGCGGGAGGCGAGGCGGCGCCGTCGCCCATTTCGGAGCCGCCGCCAAGCGCGCCGGCCGCCGCGGCGGCGGCGTCCACGCTGCAGACGGCCCCTTCTGAGACTACCACTTCCCACCCTGCCGCCGCCGCCCCGGCGCCCTGCTGCTGCGGCTGCTGCTGCTGCTGCTGCTGCTGCTGCTGCTGCTGCTGCTGCTGCTGCTGCTGCTCCTGCTGCTGCCGCATGACTTTCACGCGCCACACCACCCACGCGTCCCCCTCCCGCTCGCTCGGCCCCTCGGCGGCGGACGCCAGGCCGACGAGCGTCACCTCTGCAGACGGGCCATCCTCCTCCTTGCCGCCGCCGCCGCCGCCGCCGCTGCCGCCTGGGCGGACCTCTGACGAGACATCGAGCAGCGCCCGCACCGACCGCGCCCCCTGCGGCAGCGGCGCGTCGAACACCAGCGCCACGCGCCCCACGCGCGCCGCGGCCGGGGGCGCCCCGCGCGCGGCGCCGGCGGCGCCGCGGCTGGCGGGGCGGTCTACACAGATGGCGGAGATCTGGAGCCGGCCCGCGCCGCAGGATGCGAGGAGGTAGGGCCCCGCCCCTGGCGCCGGCAGCCAGCAGCACGCGCCACAGGCGAGCCAGCTGGACGGCACGCGAGGCCCGTCCACGCCCTCCTCCTCCTCCTGCTGCTGCTGCTGCTGCTGCTGCTGCTGCTGCTGCTGCTCGACGGCGTCGAGCGCCGCCGCGCCTGTGGTCAGCAGCAGCTCCACCGGGGCCAACCCCCAGATAGCCACCCGCCCCTCCTTGCATACCCCCACCGCGACCGGCGCCCCCGGATGCGCGCAGAACTGGCGCCACTCTGCCGCCTGCCCGGGCGACCGGCGGCGCCGCCGCGCGTGGCGCGGGTGCACGGCGATGCCGCAGGTGGGGGGGGCGCCGGGCTCCGCCGGCTGCAGGGGCAGGGGCTGGGTGACAAAGTGGCGGAGCTCGTGGTGCCTGGGTTTAGGGTTCGGGGTTTAGGGTTTGACGGTTTGGAGGTTTGAGAATTGAGGATTGAGGGTTGCATCAAGGTTGAGCTTTGAGGATTGAGGGTTGAGTTGAGGACGAGGGTTGAGAATTGAGGGTCAAGTCAAGGTTGAGGGTTGAGCTTGTGGGAGTGGCAAATTCAGGGTTGAGTGAACTTCGAGGTTTGAGATTTTCAAGGGTTAAGCGTTCACAGCTGAGTCGAGGTTGAGGATGTAGGGTTCAATTGAGATTGAGCTAAGAGGTGTATTTTCACGGGTGAGGCCAGGAGGGCGCGCCCAACATAGTTGAGGGAAGGAAGTACGAGAGGGGCATGGCTGGCTCGTGTCAAGGAGCGGGGCGCGCCTGCCGAGCAGCTGCCGCCCCGCGCCACCACCGCATCGGCGCCCCCCCCCCATCGCGTGCCCATCTGCATGCCTCACCCGTTCCCTGGGTGCATGTACTGCTGAGAGCAGTACAGCTGCGGCGCGCCGGCGGGCGGCGTGTGGAGCCAGGCGGCGAGCGTCTGCCGCGCCCCCGGCTGCGCAGCGGCGTCGGGCCGGCCCCAGCCGGGCGCGGCCGCGTCCCGGCCCCACAAGAACGCGCGCGGCGCGCTCAGCTTGGACGCGGTAATAGCGTTCTGGGCGATGCCGCGCAAAACGACGCCTGACAGGCCGTCGATAGCCCATAAGAAGACTGTGTCCACCCACGCCGGCCGCGCAGGCGCCAGCATCGCAGGCGCAGGGTGCGCCAGCCCTGGGCCACGGGTCGGCGACGACGGCTGCGCATGCAGGTGGTGCTGCAGTAGCTGGTGCTGCTGGTGATGCTGCGCAGGCGCGGGGCCGCAGTAAGACGCCAGCAGCCACAGCACGCGGTGCGCGCCCGCCGCCGCCTCGTCGCCGCCCGCGCCGCCGCCGCCGCCGCCGCCGCCACTCGCCGCGCCGCCGGGGGCCAGCCCGCAGCGCAGCGGCCGCACCCAAGCGGCCGTCATCCCTGGAAGGGCGCCCGGCGAGACGCCGGCGCCTGCAGGTGGCTCGACGACTAGTGTCAAACAGAACTGCGACATCACGCGCGGGGGCGCCCTGGACTTGCTAGGGCTGGCGGCGCCGGCTGCCTGCTGCTGCTGCGGCGGCGGCGGCGCCGCCGCCGCCGCTGGGCCACCAGGGGTAACTAACGGCGCGTCATCCATGTCTGCCATGACGACCTCGACCCAAACGCGTATGACGCCGTCCGCCCCCACCGTCATTAGCGCGGGATGGTGCGCCGCCGGCAACTCGTCCCCGGCCGCCGCCGCCGCCGCCTGCTGCCGCCGCTGCTCCGGCTGCTGCTCCCGCCCGTCCGGCGCGTCCGCCGGCGCCGCCGGCTGCTGCTGGCGCTGCTGCTGCTCCTCCGCGGCGCCGCTGCCGCCGTCGCTGGCGAGCGCGGGGCTCCACTCCAGGTGCACCACCCTGACAGGGTGGCGGATCACCTCCGCACCCACCACGTACTCCCCAGTCTTTGCGCTGCGACTCGGCCACCAAACCACGACCCGCTGCGGGCTGTCGCGCGACACGCTCGCGCACGGGCCGGACGCGCGCGCGCCCGCAGCCAGCAGATCCTGCGCGGCGTCCGCGCGCGCCTGCCAAAGCTCCCGCACGCACGCGCCCCTCAGCTGCCCGCCGACCGCCGCCGCCGCCGCCGCCGCCGCTTCGCCGCTGCCCTCCTCGACCTGCCCCCCCTCCTCTTCCTCCTCGTCCTCGTCCTCCTCCTCGTCGCCGCCGCCTCCTCCGCCCAGCTGCTGCCGCGAGGCGCCGCCCTTGGCCAGGGGCGCCGCCGCCGCGTTGACCTCGAGCATCGTGACGCCGCCATTAGAATCACTGACGAGCAGCCCTTGGCCGTCGTGCGTCCACTGGTGGCTGAGGATCGGCACGTGCGCCCTGAACACCCCCAGCTTGCAGTGGAGGCTGCTGGGCATGTGGACGAAGGCGGCGTCGATGCCGTCGAAGACACCGTTGCCGTCTGCGTCGCGGCTGCCATGCTTGCTCGGGGACGCGGCTGGCTGCTGCTGCTGCTGCTGCTGCTGCTGCTGCCGCTGCTGCTGCCGCCGCTGCTCCTCGAGCTGCGTGCGGCGCTTCCGCAGGAACGGTTCCAGCGATATGAGGCTGACGCTGTGCTTGGTCGCCGCGGACAGCGCGCACAGCGGGCCGCCGCCCCAGCTGATGCTTTGGACACAGTCGTCATCCGACAGGTGCGGCTGGTCAATCAGGAGCACCGTGGTGAATGGGTCAACAGCGCCTGCAGGCGTGTCACCGTCGAGGTTTGCTGCCCCCATGCCGGCACCCGGCGTCGCCTCTGAGCGCAGCTGGTGGTGGTGCTGCTGGAGGGGCGGCAGGCCCGGGTAGCCTCTGTCGAGGCTGCCCCTGCCGCTGCCGACTGCCGCGACGGCGCCAACCGGGGCCTGTTGGCGGACGAGGACGGGCGATTGCAGTGCGCAGCATGGCGGCGGTCATCGCCGCACTCACCGACACACCATGTGAGCCAAGCGGATTCCAGATGATACGACGCTATCAACACCCGGCACATACGTCTAAAGCGCACCTGTTGGACGACGATCGTCCCACCCTCCACGGCATGGGCGCAGAAGACATGCTCTGGATCGTGCTCGACATTGAAAAGGCACGCGTTGCTGGTCTGCGGTGTGGTCGTCCTTGACAGGACGAGCGGCCTTGACTCCATAACACTGCACAGGTACAGTAGATCACCCGGGCCAGCTAGGCTTTGCTATTGAACTCATGCTTGGAGGCCTCTAAGCTGTAGAGATTGCGTGTATTTCTTGAGTATCGCCTTGGCGCCACCTGATGATGACTCTTTGCTGTCGGCACCAGCAGGGCACCCGGCAGTGGTTTGCGGCCGTCACCTTCCACAGCGAAGGCACCAGTCAATCAAGGCACGCCCCTCCCGCATTGCACGACTGCAACACTCTATACGTCAACTCTGCCACGCTTACATCCGCCGTGCCCTGTGCTGCCTACAGGTAACACATGCTCACATCACAAACCCAGCTCCCACACCTCCAGTGTTCTCGCCAGGCTACGCCAGTGAGGAGCACATAATAGGGCGAAGTCATCACTTAGCAGACCTCCTGCCGCCTGCGATGCATCTGCCCCTACTCCTCTGTACAGAGACCGTCGCGCCAAGCCTCGCTGCTTCCAGCACCGCCCAGACCAAGCGGACTGCTGCATTGTTGCACATCAAGCCAGCGGCCCCATGGTCTGTTGGGTAGAAAGGCAGCGCGTCTCCATAGGTTACACCATGGAAATCAGCGAGCAGTGCAGAGGGTCAAGATGGGCCGAGCCGCGCGGGCGTGCCACTAGGCGCGGCGCCGAGCGGCGGCGCGCTGCGCGCCCTCGGCCCCATTGAGGAAGAGAGGTTGCGGGGGTGGCACCAAGCGTGGTTATGACTGGGCGAGCAGCACGCGTCCTGCGCCAAGCCCCCCGTGTGCAAGCGTCGCGCTGAGAGGGTGCAAGATGAGTAGGCCCAGCCAAACATTGGCCGGCAAATTGTCCAACGACAGACCATTAAAGCATCCAGGCGTATGCCAAAATTAAAGGCCGGGTCGGCTGTTGGAAGTACACAGGCTGCGTCGCAAGTCGGCGCGAGACGCATGCCTATCAACTGGGCAGTCCATTCTGTGAGATGAAGGGTGGCTTTTGTGCCAGATGCAGACGCATGGAAGAAAGCAGCGGCCCGCGCGGCCGCGATGCTTATCCCAGGATTAAAACGCCACGACAGAGAGCGCTGTGCAAAAGCGGTGTGGTCGGCCCGTCCGTGCAAGCGGCAGCACAAGGCACTTGCGAGCGGATTGGAGGACGCCGGTGTTCAAAGATGCAGCATGTGTGCTCCGCTGGGCAGACTTGTGCGCTGCTTTGGGCGCGGAACAACAGGCACCCGGGGCTCAAAGGTGCGCCGGTTTGTGGAGTGTATCGGGGTTCAAGATGCTGGCTCGTCGCCGCTTTCAGGATGCATCAGGCACTCACTCGGGATGACTCGAGGCCAGCACTCGCGCGGCCCACTGCCACGCGGCCCAGGAGCCGGCGTGGCGTTTGCCAGGGCCAGGCGCGGCCGAGGCAGACTGGCCCGTCAGAATCTCACACACACACAGCTCGTAGATATGGCGACCGCAGCCCAGTGGACGAACGCGTCTGGGGCGCTCTCGCGCGCCGAAGCAATGATGTGTGTTGAACAGTCTTGGCGATTGATTCTCGGGCGGCGGGCTGGCCGAATGGCGTGCCGTCGCGGCAGAGCGCGGGCACTCCCTCGGCACACACCTGTTGGCCGCACTCTCTCACTTGACACTTCTTCACGCGCAACTTTCATTGTGGCCGCAGGCAAAAATGCACCCCACCGAACTGGGGTTGTGCCGCCTCGCCGACGGCGCCGCCCGCGGCTGGCAAGGCCTCGGGCCGTGGGCCGCGAAGCCGCCGCCGCGCCGTCACCCGTCCCTCAGTGCCTCTTCTTCCCCCACGTCTCCACGCCGCCCCACGAGAACGACACCCAGCTGACCTTGGGCGCCGGCGCCTCGAGCGCGTCGTCGCTGGCCCCATCCTCGACGTCCTCACCCAACTCGGGGGCCGACCAGCCATAGGGGCGGAAAGACTGGTAGGCGGCCTCCTTGGCGGCGCGCTTCTTATCCTCGGACGGGTCCCTGTTGCCAATGCTGGGCAGCGGCACGACGACGACGCCCGGGGGGGCCTGGCGGACGGTGGGGGTGACGCGGTTCGTGTAGTAGGGGTCCGCGGCCTTGATGTCGGCGCGCATGAAGTTGAGCGAGTTCTGGGCCAGCCGGCGGCCGGCGGAGGCGAGGGCAGGCTCGGAGAGCAGGCGGCTAGCCTCGGCGGCGCTGGCGAGCAGCACGACCGCCGCGGCGCAGAGGAGGAGGCTGCGGGTCTGCATGGTTGCTGCTGTTTTCGAGGTTGGAGAGTGGGTCTGTGGGGAGGTAGGGGGAAAAGGGAGAGGAGGTGCGGGCCAATGAGCAATAAGCAGAGGTGTTTGGCTCAGTGCTTGTGAGCTGCACTATTGGTGCCTCACGGCGCAAATGGCCACAGCCTCGCTGTCGGTTTGCTGGTGCATTGCCCCTGTAGCAGGCGCCTGCTGCCAAAACCGTCATGCGGTGGCGGCCACCATGGCTCTGCAGCGCGCTCGCGCTGTGACGGTCGAGCGGTGAGATGCACAATTTGCATAGCACAAACATATGTGCCATGGGTCGTCAAGCACGCAAACGCATGGGCTCCTGGCTGCCCCTTTGCTTACAGCCTGGCGCCTACTCGCCTGGAGTAGGGTTGGTGCCCAGTAGGAGGCCAGTAGTGGGTTTAGCCGCCACAAGCGGGGTGTATATTGATATTTACAAGCCTGTTTGAAGGGTGGAGAGGAACAGGAGGTGAGTGTTTGCTCTGTCTACTACCGCGCTGGTGGAGGGCGGTGGACGACCCAGGGTGGCCGTCGGGGCCTCGCGCACCTGTTGTGCCCGGGCCAAATGAAATCAACGACTCTCAACAGGGCCGAATTCGCAGGGTGGAAGGCTCCAAGGGCCTGATTTGGTGGCCGGGCCGTGCGAGGTAAAAATCAGCGACGAGATGCGTCGTTCAGGAGAGGGTCGGGTCAGAAGCAGAAATCACGGCGCTCAACTGTGTAAGGGCTCAAAGCGGACGGAGGCACTAAGATGCGCCTCGCCAAGATTGCGCCCCACCGGAAGCTGGAGCACCGTGAGAGTTGCAGCCAGCCACCGCACTGACTGTCCCCCAAGAGAGCACGCAATCCAACCATATCCGAGGCAATTCTCTTGCCATAAGTGTGGTGTGCCCTTCTTATTGGTAATTACACACTCCTGCAGGGCGGCACGGGGGTTGCGTGGCGTGGGGAGGTCAATTCGGGTGAGAGTCCTCGAGAGGGGCACCAAATCCAGGCGCATGCATCTGCGACCGGTGAATGTGCACAACATGCAGGGTAAAAACAAGCCGGTCCATCAAGGAGGGCGTGTGCTCCTGCCCCGCATGGGACATCCGCCTGCCGGGCATCACGCCCCATGCATTCAAGGTGCAGGTTCCTTCCTCCTCCACTTTTGGCCCTCCTGTCTGTTGGTGGCCGACCCCTGAGCTCGTCCAAATTGGACGCTGTCTGGAGCGTGCCGGAAGCTGCGGCCGCTCCTGCTGCAAGTGGCACCTCTGGTGATGATGCCCTGCAGTACATCTGGAGTACGGTACACTAGCCGCAGTCCTGTTGCAACAGTGGACACTCCGAAGTGGCGCCTGAGACACGAATGATTCATTTTCGTTTTTCGCAGGAGCGTGGTGTGTTGTGAGCATATCTTGACCCTGTCGCAGGCGCCCTCAAACTGGGTAGGGGCGTCGTGACCAGCGGATTGCAAACACTTCAACTAGCATGCTGCAGCAGTGAAGCAAGCCTGATCCCAGGCAGCAGGCACTAACCCTGAGCTACGAGACCAATTACTTGCCGACCAGGCTTGACATAGCTGTCGTTCCACACCATGTGTGCAGAGGCGGCCGGCGGTGGCGTGCGCGCTGTCGACGAAACTGCTTGTTGTGGGTGCGTGGCAGTGAATGCGACACTACGGCACCTGCCGATGCTCGACTTAGCTGAATATGTACAGAATATGCACGATAATTTCAGGTTTACGGTATTCAACGCGGTATATTTGGCCACAATCTGCTCGACTTCGAAAGATCTAAGGCTTGGTGGTGCCTTCAATTGCAACGCCGAGCAGACCTTGAATTGTGATACTGTAGCGTGATCTCATTTCATAATCGAGCCGCCACAGCAGCTCCCTGGGATCAGGAGCAGGTCTCGCATCGTCGTTCAGGCCACCCAGTGGCAGGTGCTGGAGACGCTGGGCACAACATGTCGACTGTGTCGTCGTGCGGGCTGAGGACCGCAGCAAGCCAACACCAGCGGCCGGGATCCATCCGCTCGCCGCGGTGCGCATTGCTGGTGGCGGCGCAGGCCAACACAAGCAGCAGCGGCAAGAGGGGTGAGCGCGGCTCATTGCTATGGGCTGTGGGCACCGCCTCGCGCAATCCTGGGCTCAATGTACGTGGCCTTGGACCAGCGTATGGTGACGTCGCCTGTGACTTACCCTAGATGGTCAGATGCCTGCCCTCTTTCGCATCACATGCGCATGAGAGCGCTCGAGATCCCTCAGAAGCGCCCGCACCTGACGCTTCAAACCCCGCCCCGCCCACTGCGCCCCGCGCTGGCGCCCCACGCCCGCAGCCGCGCCGCAGCAGCCGCACGCCGCGTCGCGGCGCGAGGCGCTGCTGTCAGCCGCGGGCCTCGCGCTCCTGCCCGCCGCCCCGCTGCTCGCGCCGCGGCCCGCGGCCGCGTGGCCGTGGAGCGGCGGCGGCGCGG